ATGCGGATGATTTATATCAAGGAGTCGCCACTAATCGATTTGGGGTGGGCCGATTAGAAACCCAAATAGGGTGATGGGAGAATCACCCTATTCCTGCGAACCAGAAATTCACTGAATTCGGGGACTTGGTTACACTAGTTAGATAACTAATGCCCTTTCGGTACCTTTTTATCCTGTTCATTTCATGAAAACATTTGTCAGGCAATTTGGATTGATTTTAGGACCTTTCTCCTAACATGTGAGGTGATCAAGCGAGTGCATAATCAGAAACGATTAGCAGTCAGGAACACAACAATTCATGCATCCTAAGGTTCTAACCTTAACTAAGTCAGATGACATTCAAAAACACAACAGCTCATGCAATTGTATTAAAAACATGCATAACAATATAACGGTAATAAAAACTAACATGCAAAATACTACCGCGCAATCCTAGGCTTATCTAATTTAAACATGATAAATTATGCAATTATAACAGCATGCATAATAATACAACAATAAATTAAAATATTTCACATAATTTAAAAAAGGATCTTTTCTTTTAAAAAAAATTTTTATTTTTTGATTTTTTTTTTCGAGAAAAAAAATGAAAAAAATAATACATAAGAAGAAATGAAAAAAAAAATTAATTTTTTTTAAAAAAATTTTTAAAATAAAATAAAAAAAATAATATAATATTAAAACCCGGGTCGGGTCGGGCGGATCTGACCCGGGTCAATGGACCCGACCCTGGGCGTTGACTCGGGTCGGGTCAGTTGATCCGGATCTGGTCGGAACCGACCCGGGTCAACGGACCCGACCCGGGGAATTGACCGGGTCGGGTCAGTTGATCCGGATCGGGTCGGAACCGACCCGGGTCGGATCAGCTGATCCGGGTCGATCGACCCGCGTACACAGCCACACGGGGACGCCGGCGGAGCCAAAATTGGCCTTCCGCCGGCCGACCCAGACCGGCGCCGACCTGAATCCGGCCCTTGGGAGCTGCCACCAAGCTTCGCCGCCCGCCTCGGTCATCGTCCGATCGCCTGCTCGCCGGCCGGCGATCGAATCAAACCCGGCCTCTTTGAGGTATTTTGTCGAACACCTGGCGTGCAGAGACAAAAATGGAAGATTTCGACCTGTTCCGGAGACCTGGTCGGCTCCGGCAGCCTAGCTTACCTTTGGTGACGATATAAGCATGGTGGGGGACGACGGTATGGACCGGGACTCGCACGAAACGGCCGGCGCAGGTCCCGGCCAAACCGAGCACAAAAACAGGGCAAAACAGAGGGGCTTCTCGGCCAGGGGGGAGCTCACCGGTTGGCGGCGCGTCAGGGCCGCTTTCCGGCTACTCCGTGGGCGACGGCGACGCTGCTGGTTGTCTTTCTTGCTCCGGCGTGGCCTCGGTTTGCTCTCTCTCCCTCTCTATTCTCTCTCTCCTCTCTCGGTTCTGTCTTTCTCTGTTTTTCTTTTTCAAAATCGCTGACCGGGGGTGTTTCCGGGGGTTGCTGGTCGGCTTGCTGGAGACGGCGAGACCGGCTGGGACCTGCGAGACGCTCCCAGGCTCTTCTCTCTTCTCTGTTTCACTCTAATTCTCTCTGGGTCTCTCTCGGACTCTCTGTTTTCTCTCAAAATTGGCCAACCCTCTCTCTCTCTCTCTCTCTCTCTTTCTGTCTTTCATAGCCGACGACGACGAGTCTGGGCCCGGCCGCGTCGGCGTGACGATGGCCTGCACCGGCCTACGCCACCCACGACTTTCGTGGCTATGGCGGCCGGTGCGGGCGAGGGGCCGCTCAATGTGCGGAGACAGAGAGGAGAAGGAAGAGAGAGAGAGAAAAAGAGAGACCGGGAAACGGGGGGAGAAGGAACTGGCCTTAATGGCCAGTCCCTGTGGCGTGCTGCCCCGGTCCTGCTCTGGCCGGATGGGGACGGGGCGGCCGCCCTCAGCCGCTCATCACCTCTGCGTCAGCGGCAGAGGAAAACAGGGGGAAGGAGAGCGACGGCTTAGCGAGGGGGAAGAAGAAAGGAAGGGGCTGGGCCGGGCCAGGCCCAGTCCGCGCAGGTAGAAAAGGAAAAGAAAAGTGGGCCGAGCCCACGCTGGGGAAAAGGAAGAGAAAAGAAAAGGGCCGGGTCGGCCCAGCCCCGACCCGGCCCGACTCGAATTTTTTTTTTTTTAAGGATTAATTAAGAAAATATGCTCAAATAGGCTCTATTAATGCAAATATGCCTAATTCCTATATGCAATGCATTGAAATAGAAATATTTTTTGTTTTAGAAATTAAAGAAAATTAATTCCTAAATTTTGTGTAATTAATTTTTGGACAAATTAAAAATAGGTGTCAACAATATACGAGAAATCTTTCTGGTATGCTACGAATGGAACATGTGAGGTGGCCTCAAAATGTGATGGCAGAACAAAACATATATGATATATGCTGATATCCTGAGTTAAGCCAGCCGAAAGTCAAAATGTTCAATGGTTTGATTAATATGTTACAGATATTTCGTTCTTCATGCCATCGTGTTGCAGAACCAATTAGAGGAGTCTTTTCTTTTACAGAAGTTTTCAGGGATTGTGATTTTAGTTACTCTGCAATTTGAAGGTCTTGGTCTATATTGCCATTATGCTCTTCTTGGACAGGTACTTGACACTATTTGTGAAGAGCTTCCTCCAGATGGAGTTCTTTTACTATATCTGTCAGCTTCAGGGGGGACACTTTTGGATATTTTTTGGCTCATGCTTACGAATTTTCTGCACGTGAAGTACAATCATCAATTCTGAGACAACTATTAAATTGCCTCAGGAAGAGGAAGATCTCCCATTTCACTGTCAGCAGGGGTTGGAGCTTTTTCTGATGCTACAGAAAACATAGCGAGAAACCTCCAGACTGTTGCCATATCTTCTGTTGAAACTTCTAGTATTACATTTGGCTCCCTAAGTGACGATGTACTCCCAACTGGACAAAGCAAAGGTGACTGCATGCATCACTGAAGTCCTTGTTTGCAGTTTGGTAATCGTAATAATGGTGGTAATCCCTGGCAATGGTTGTTGAGATATACTATTCATAAATGTGATGTGTTTGTCTGTGTATGCATGTGAATATTATATTATCTATCGAGACATGCATTCTGATTTCTTTCAACTCTACGAGTTCTTTCCTTAATTGTGACAGTACTAATTCGTAGGGCTAGATGTAAAGCAAACTGTAATTTTCTTTAGATAGAAGCTCTCGTTGCAGCTTCTGACTTCATCGAAGCATGTTGCGAAAAGAAGAAGAAGCAGCGCCAATCTTTGTATAGATCTTACAAGCTTTAACTTACTTCTAGTGGACTCTTTTGTCAATGGGAACACTCAGTTTAGATTGAAGGAGAAGGACATAGAGCTTTATTAACTGAATTGCTAGGGGTAAAAAAGTCGGCTTTTGGCTTTCACTTAAAGTAAATTTACTTTCTGGGGAGTGCAAAATAATTATCTTTTTTTTGTAGGAAAGCCTAATTGGGTACATAGAAATCAACTTTAGTCTACTGGGCTGTATTTAGATGATTAGTGCTTTTCCTTTACATAGCTTATAGCCTAATTAATGAATTTATTTTGCCAATTAAATAATCATGCTGATATTGTCTCGTACATATCTGAATATTGGTGTCTGTTACTAATATTTTTGTTGGTTAAGATTGTAATAATACAATAGAGTATCTGTAAATTGTAAAAGCTTTGCCTCGTATGCCTTCCTGCACATGAACTGCTGGTGCAGCATATGGTTTGCATCAAATTACATGCTCAGTTCTCATTTTGAGGGTTGATGATAGAGTTAGATGATGGAGAGCCAATGTTAAGTAATGTTGTAAAATGGTGATTGGTCTGCATTATTGGTTTCAGAACTTGTGATACTTCCTTTTCTTAATTATTGATCAATACAAAAATTTGGAAGGACAGTTTTCTGGAGATGTTTCGTCTATTGTCTATATTTCCAACTTATTTTATGGTACTGATACTGGTGAAGTGCTTTTGTAAGTCTTGCAATATTTTATTCCTCTCTTATAAGAAAAGAGTTAAATACTGTAGATGGTATTCTCCATTGAGAAGTTTCTCCTCCTAATGTTGGACAGTAAACTGTCTGGTTCAAATTGAATATATCCCTGTGGCTTACTTCCATACACAAGGAGGCCACTGGTTTTAATAATTGACAGCGACAGCAGCATGGCCTTTGAGTCAAGTAAGGGACTCACTAGATCTGCTAACTGCAAGCTTGTAAATTTCCATTTTTTATTGAAAGTAGGTGAGTTAGTGAGCAACCTAAACAATATAACAACTGCATGTTGATTCCCATGATCCTTCTTCCATTCTTATCTTCTGGATCCATCAACCGGTTCAATCAATAAAAGCCAATGATTTTGCTAGACCACGGATGCTGTGTGAGTTATTTTACCAGTGATAAAGAATTTTCTTTCTGCTAAGTCCAACGTATTTCTCCTGTTGTGCATGTAATTTTTGTATCATGCTTGAAGTGTCTTGGTGGCATTTATGCAATTATCTTGCGAATGAGGAAATGAAGTGAATGACACAGTAAACAACAAACTAAACCTCAGCCCACTAAGTGCGGTTGGCAAATAATGAAGTGCGTGCTACTTGGAAGAAAATAAGTTTTTTTCTCAAGAAACTGTCATTTAATTACTGTGATTCACTAATGGAGGTAGTCTCCTACCATTGAAATTTAGCTCCTAAGTTGTAGCAATCGATGTTTATTATATAATTGAATATAGTAACAGTTTTTCTTATCATAAGGTGATTTCGGCTCATTGAGATTCATTTGGATGGATTGTGTTAGACTACAGAAGAGCGAGTAGATAAACTACAAGAATGTATAGGAGAAAGTGCACTTATAGATCCATTCACACCACTCTGAAGTAAGAAACATTTTTCAATAGAAGCATTCCCAAAATATCTTTCTCATAAATGGAAGTATAGGCAACGGTCCAACATCCATGACAGCCTAGATCGAGGTGTCGACGTTGCGACCATGGCAATCTTTGGTGCGTACACTACTTCACTTTGTCCACCAATCTTCATTTTGCTCGCTGTAATGTCAAATTTCTCAAAACAAGGAGGAACAACTGGCATTTCATCCGAGCTTTCTGCAATAACTTGCCCCTGGACAGAAGTGCCCAAAGAGCCAGTAGCTACCTTACTTTCAAGGGCACAGACTACAGGTTTTGAAACAATTGGCAACTTTTTCTCTTCTACTGCTCCGCTATCTTCTCCCTTATGCTGGTAACTGCGAGTTTGAAAATCAACACCAGGGGTATCCACTTCTGCAATTGATCTACCTGAAAAGGTTGTGTTCATTACACTCTGCTCTTTGTTCACCTCAACAGAAGCATCACCTGGACTTTGCAAGATCACGCAGGGTGCTGAAGATCTTCCCGGAGAATGTGATCCGCCATGCCGTGACCTACACTGAGAAGAGATTACGGTTGCAGAGTCAGATGCAGAGAAGAGATTGCGGTTGCAGAGGGGTGATCTCAATCGCGCACTGCGGATTTAGATCGGACGATAGTTTGGAAGCCATTGCCAAAGCCCGCGACGAGCGAGTCCCCAATCTCGCGCTCTATAATTACCTATCGTTTTCAGGTGATTTGCTGTTCTTTCTTTGTGTCTTCCTTTTGTCTTTGAAGTAGGCGGTTTCTCTGTTTATTTGGGTTCTTATGACATTTTTTAGCTTAAATGTTACTGGGAATTTGGGATGGTGGGCTTCAAAGGAGTAAAGATCGTCGGATTGAAATGTTGTTCAGATTCTGATTGATGTTCTATTGTGCCTTGTGATGAAATTGTTTGTGTGTAAAACAAAAGTTGAACAAGTTGATTTTATTGTCTGTGAACCAATAGCACTTGTCCCCCGATTAATTTTGATGTGAACCGGTAGCATGTTCAAGTAGAAGAAATGTCTGAATGTATGTTCCAACTTTTTGACGCAGCATTCAGCAAATAATTCAAGCAAAACCTTGCTTTGAAAAAAAAATCTCAAAATTCAATATTGATGATAATGTTCTGTTCTTCAAAAAGAACCCTAAAACAAGCTCATATATCCCTAAACCAAACCCTACTAGAATTAGAAAACATAAAACATCAAAATTACAAAACTGCCCTTAAAATTAAAACCCATAAAAAATTATTAAAAAATGGAAAAACCCATGTAAACGATTCCGAATCGCTAAAATCCATCGTTAGTCACAGCCAAAGGCGGTGAGTTTTGTTCAGAACGCCGCTTCGCTTAAAACGACCGATTTTGAGCCCAATCCGATGTCGTCAACCAGGTCCACCGGTTCTAGTTGCATCACCGTTTCGCCTTCCGTTTGGACTTCTGCCTATCCAACCGGTCCAGAAACGTTTCACTAATAGATTCTGCATCATTCTCCTCCACTTGAAAAGAACTCGTCCTCGAGTTAAAATCAGGATCTGGATATAACGACTCTACGGACTTATGAAACGGTGATAAATCAGCAATATTGAAAGTGTTAGATATGCCCATACTATATGAAAGGTCTATAACATAAGCATTATCGTTGATCTTCTTGCTGACAGTGTAAGGCCCATACTTCTTTTGCTGTAATTTGCTATAAGATCTAACTAGTAATCGCTCTTTACGAAGAAAAACCATGACCCAATCACCTACTGCAAACACCTGCTTCCGCCTGTGCTTATCTATTGCAGCTTTATACTTCTGATTAGCTTCCTCTAGCTTCTATTTGACTTCATGATGCACCTCCACAATCTGTTTAGCCATATGATCCGATGTTACACTTTTATCCGCTTCCTTAGGTAACTGTACCAAATCCAGAGTATGCTGAAGCGCATTTGTATAAACAACAGAAAAAGGCCACCTGCCAATAGAACTATGAACTGCATTATTATAAGCAAACTCTGCTTGTGATAAAGCAACATCCCATTGCTTCGGCTTATCTCCACAAATGCTTCGAATCAAGTTTCCTAGAGTTCTATTAACCACCTCTGTTTGCCCATCAGTCTACGAGTGAGCAATGCTACTGAAATTCAAAGATGAATCAAACAGTTTCCACAAAGTTCACCAAAAATGCCCTAGAAATTTACTATCCCTATCTGAGGTAATAGACTACACCATGCAAATGAACCACTTCCTTAAAGAATAATCTGGCCACACTTACTGCATCAGAAGTTTTCCTACAAGGAATGAAGTGCGTCATCTTGGAAAATCTGTCAACCACAACGAAAACAGAATCCACGCCTCTTTGTGTCCGTGGTAAACCAAGCATAAAATCCATAGACAAATCTCCCCATGTATTGTCAAGAACAGGTAATGGCATATATAAACTTGTATTATTAGATTTCCCCTTAGCAGTCTGACAAACATAACATTTTTGTATGTACCTGCTGACATCTCTATGCAACTGGGGCCAGTAAAATCGCTCCTAGACTGAAGCAATAGTTTTATCACGACCCAGGTGTGTAGCTAATCCTCCATTATGTAAATCACGAATTACCTTCTCTCGTGATGATGTTCGAGGAAGGCAAAGCCGGTTTCTACGCATCAAATAGCCATTCTACACATAAAATTCTTGCACAGATTGACCAGCAGCACATGACTCCCAAATTTGCCCAAAGTCATCATCATCTGCATAACAATCTTTCAACTGCTCAAACCCCAAGATGTCTTGGCTTAATGTAATCAACAAGCCAGCTCTCCTACTCAATGCATCTGCTACGACATTATGCACACTTGACTTGTGCTGTAATCTGAAAGGAAATTTTTGCAAAAATTGACACCATCGCGCATGCATCTCTTTGCTAATCATCTTCTGACTATTTAGATAGTTCAAAGCTTCATGATCAAAATAAAGGACGAATTCTTTCCCAATCAGATAATGCTCCTAAGTCTTCAAAGCCCTTACGACAGAATAAAATTCTTTGTCATAAGTGCTCCACTTCTGTCTCGCCTCGCTAAGCTTCTCACTGAAATAGCAAATTAGTCTGTGCTCTTGAGATAAAACAGCTCTTATACCCACTCCACTAGCATCACAATCCATTTCAAACAGTTTATCAAAATCAAGTAAAGCAAGAACAGGTGCAGTACATAACTTCTCCTTTAAAATAGCGAAACTATTCTCAGCTTCCTCTCCCCATAGAAATTTGTCTTTCTTCGTACATTCAGTAATTGGGGCTGCGATAGTACTAAAATTCTTAATAAATGGCCGATAAAAAGTAGCCAACCCATGAAAACTCCTAACGTCAGAAACTGTTTTAGGTGTCGGCCACTCTCTGATTGCTCTTACCTTCGCCTCATCTACCTCTATTCGTTCAGCAGTAATAATAAACCCCAGGAATAACAGCTTATTAGTTAAAAAACTGCACTTCTTAAGATTAATATACAACTTATTAATCTGCAAAGATGTCAATACCTCCCTTAAGTGCATCAGATGATCCTCCTCAGTCTTACTATAAACCAAGATATCATCAAAATAAACTACAACAAATTTGCCAATAAAAGATTTCAGAACCTGATTCATAAGCCTTGTGAAAGTGCTTGGAGCATTGGAAAGTCCGAAAGGCATCACCAACCATTCATACAACCCCTCCTTTGTTTTGAAAGCTATCTTCCACTCATCTCCGGGTCGAATCTGAATCTGATGGTATCCATTCTTCAAATCCAGTTTCGAAAACCACTTAGCACCGTGCAACCTATCTAGCATGTCATCCAATCTCGGAATTGGAAACTTGTAACCCACAGTTATCTTATTAATGGCCCTGCTATCTACATACATCCGCCAACTCCCATCTTTCTTAGGAGTCAACAAGGCCGAAACAGCACATGGGCTCATGCTATTTTGAATGTGCCCCTTTTCGCAACAACTCCTCCACCTTCTCTTTTAGAATCTCGCTCTCGTTAGGACTCATCCTGTAGTGCGGTAAATTAGGCAGACTAGCACCAGGAATTAAGTCTATATGGTGCTGAATATTGCGCATAGGCGGCAACCCATCTGGAATCTCTTCAGGCATCAGTTCACTAAATTCCTTCAATAAAGGCCTGATTGCTTCCGGCTGCTCCTCCACTTGTAATGCAGCCTCAGTCTCAATTGTTTGTTTCACGACCAGCACGTGAATCTATCGAGTCTCCTTAACCTCAGCTTCAAATTTCCTTGTAAGTGTAAGGAAATTATTTTCAGCAGCTTATTTTCCTATGTTCTTTAGTGGCAGTAACGTATACTTCACTCCATCCTTCACAAGGTTATACTGATTGCTTCTTCCCGAATGTTGAGCATCTACATCAAATTGCCACGGCCTCCCAAATAACACATGACATACATCCATGTCTACTACATCACAATACAACTCATCATGATACTTACCGATGGAGAATGGAATTTTGCATCGTTCAGTTACCTAAATGCTTTCCGCTCCAGATTTAATTCATCCTAACGTATAAGGATTATGATGCTTCTCCACGGGTATTCCCAACTTCTTCACTGCCTCATTCCCAATGATATTCTCCATGCTTCCACTATCAATAGCCACAGCAAAGATCTTTCCCAGAATGGTGCACCTGGTTCGGAATAACTGATGGCGTTGTGAATCATCTTCCTGTTTTGGGGCCAACATCATCCTGCGCACCACACAGTTTACTTGCTCCTCTTCTTCATCTTCAAAATCATCGTCCTCACTAACCGGCGCACAGCAATATCCATCCTCCTCCTCTTCTCTCGTTGCTACGTTTACGGTCTTTCTCTGAGGGTATTCATTAGATCGGTGCCCAGGCTAATTACACATGTAACACTTTATCGCGGCTGGTTTAGCATAAGGGTTAGGGTTCACAGTTTTCTTTGCTTACATTCCCTTATCCCTCGGCTCATTCATAGGGCGCTTTTCTACTGTCTTATCTTTCTGATTTCGCCCTGCGTTAAAGCGATTATTGAAACTGCTCTTCTCTACCGAACTGCTCGAACTGCTACCTCGATAATTTTCATAGCCTCTTCTTCCCCTGTCTTGCTGCATCAATTCTGCCTTCATCGCCATATTCTTGGCTTCAGTTAAATTTCGTAGAAACTGCACTTCAATTTTATCTCGAATAAAGGGTTTCAAACCATCAAGATATCTGGCCACCTCCGTCTCTGATAAATTATTCCACTCCGCCAATCTCATAAATTCGGCCATATACTCATGCACAGTCTGATTGCCATGCTGGCAATGTTGGTACTGCTGGAACATAATCTATTCAAAATCGGGTGGAAGGAATTCCTACTTCAACAGCCTCCTCATTCTAGTCCAAGTTCGAACTCTATCTTTCCCTTCTCGCTCCCTCTTATTCTGCAATCTCTCCCACCATGCAAACGCACTCCCCTTTAATCTAAAGGCTACTAATCGCACCCTTTTCTCACCAGGAGTCTCCATATAATCGAAAAATCTATCTATATCAGCAATCCAATCCAGAAATTCTTCTATGCCCAGACTTCCATTAAAATAAGGAATATCGACTTTCAATTTAAAGTCATTACTTTCACGATCGTCGTAACGTCGTCTTCTATCTCTCTGATCATATCCTCTTTGAAATCCTCTATGATGACGTCTGCCGCCATAATCAGCACGTTCCGCATCAAAATAATCGTTTTCTTCTTCTTCCGAACTCTCTGAAAACAGAGGGTTATGCAACCTGCGGACAGGAACAGGCCTATCAACAGGATCACCGCGAGCAAGATCTGCACTCGACCTTCTGTCGTTCCGCTGATTTCGGTTCACATCAACGTCGAAACCTTCGAACCGATCTATTGACTCATCAAATCGTTCTTCGAAACGACGAAGACTTTGATCGAGTCGTTGATCCAAGCGTTCCATTAAACGCTGCTCCAAATGTTGCAGCGCGTCGTCCCCAAGGGTTGGGGCTCCAGTCTCTTGAGCATCGTCACGAAGACCACCGCCAGTCACCATAGGCTCTGATACCACCTGACGCAGCGTTCAATGAATAATTCAAGCAAAACCTTGCTTAGAGAAAGAAATCTCGAAATTCAATATTGATGATAATGTTCTGTTCTTCAAAAAGAACCCTAAAACAAGCTTATATATCTCTAAACCAAACCCTACTAGGATTAGAAAACATAAAACATTAAAATTACAAAACTGCCCTTAAAATTAAAACCCATAAAAAATTATTAAAAAATAGAAAAACCCATGTAAACGATCCTGAATCGCTAAAATCTATCGTTAGTCATAGCCAAAGGCAATGAGTTTTGTTCAGAATGCCGTTTCGCTTAAAACGACCGATTTTGAACCTAATCCGATGTTGTCAACCGGGTCCGCCGGTTCTAGTCGCATCACCGTTTTGCCTTCCGTTTGGACTTCTGCCTGTCCAATCGGTCCAGAAACGCTTCACAAATAGATTCTGCATCACTTTTGATATCACTGTATGTAATTCTTCGCCATTGGTTGACTATCATTAATAGGAATAAGCATATGTTTGTTGTGGATGCATCCGTTTGGAGATAGTTTTTATCTGTTGGGGCAGGATGGATACTTTATGTAGTTCTTTTTGACACGTCAAGTTCAAGCTACTAAGGGTCTCGCGAATGATTTCCGGAATGCACTTCTATTTTAGTTGTCTACTATGCATGTAAACGAGGTTGTATAACGTTGGAGCTGCTTTGGTGGAGTTGCCTTGGTGGAGTTGCTTTGGTTTGTTTAGATTTTAGTTGTTTTAACCTCAGCTTAGGTTTAGAATCAAGTGGATGTTTGAGTGTAACACTTGAGAGTGGCAGTTGAAGTGCCTTTTGCTTGTGTTTCACTTTGTGTCTCTTTTTCCTGTAGTTTGAGATTTTTCTCTTTTAAGTGCGACAATTTTTGCTCTAAGTCTATTGCTTGGCCCTCTAATGCTTTTGTTGTAGAAGCACAAATTGGAACCTTGGTATATAGCTTCACTGCATATGCAATTTGCATCTCGAACAATGATATTTTTTAAATGGAATCTCTTTTACTCTCTGTGTGAAGTTTATAACTGTACTCTCTATTGGCACTTATAAGGCAAGGTGTCCTGTTTTTACTTTTTCCATTCTTGTGTCTGGAAGATGAATACAACAATTCTGTTCCTTCATGTGGCCACCCTTGTGGTATATTTCTCCCCTTTCATACTATAACCTTAAGGAGGGTACATGATGAGATGCTAGATGCTAATCTGCCAGCTTAGTTCATTTCCATCTAGTTACTTTAGTGTTGCCTTCTGCTGTCCTCTTTAAATTGTTCTGCACTATGACTGGCACTGTACTGTCATCTATAAAGCAAATTGGTCTTTCTAGTACCAAGTTTGTGTCGGAAGATGACTAAATGAGCAATCCATGTCTAAGCCATTTTCACTTTGACGCAGTTCAAGTGTATCTTTTGTGTGCTACATTGGTCTCAATTTATTTTCCTAAAACCTGAATGTTCATTTACATGATGGGAACTTTGTTGACATTACTAATCATTGTGATTGCTTCATATACCCACCAGCCACCAGGGCTTGTTTTCTCGGGCCATAGTGGGTTTTTATAAATGGATTCATTTGCTTGCAAGCTGCTTATTTGCTGGACCATCCTGGGTCTTCATTTAAAATATGTGGGACTCCTAAGCAATTGTGGAAAAACATGTGTAACTTAACCTTAATTTAAAATAAAAATCGGGAACACGAAACCCGACTCGGCCTGACACGACCTGACCCGACCTAATCGTGCGGCTATATCCTGTTTGGGTCTCGGGTATCATAAAAACCCAAATCATTGGCACCCCTAGATGTCTGATGGGCAGGCTTCTATTGCACAACAACCTTTTGAATTGTCCTGCTTTGTAATAAGGTGCACCGCTGAAGACATCAGATTTTACCTTATTAGAAGACAAAATATGAGAATCACTGTTCTGAATATGAAAAGAACCATTTGTACTATTTACAGAAACCTTGATGAGGTTTGCATTGTAATTGGAGTATCTGAAAGTACTTAAAAGTTTAAAAATATTCAGATCCATCAAGATTTGAAGTACTTATAAATATTACATAAGATAACTGACTTTACTAAAATAATACTAAATATAATAACCTAATCACACTCTGGAGATGACATTCCAGGATGGGACTCCAGGTCCACAAGCTCCACATCCTCGAGTGCCTCTGCCGGTGCCTCAACCAATGCCTCGACAGGAACCTTCGCGGACGCCTCAACCAACACCTCAACCAGCGCCTCAGCAGGCACCTCCGCCGGTGCCTCAACCGGCGCCTCAGCAGGCACCTCTGCCGGCGCCTCAGCCAGCGCCTCGACAGGCGCCTCTACGGGAGACTGATGGCAACGCCTCCACCACCATAAAAATAATAAGCCGCCAAGGACTGCGATGACGACTACCGTGATGGCAACTACCACCATAGCGTGGCGCTCCCCACGATCGTGGTAAGGCGGGACGTCCACTTCAGTCTGAATGCCTCCCATGAATGGTAGCGCCTGCAATTCAAACCACAAAGGGTTCACGAGATATAAGGTCGGGAACTCGATTACACTAGTTATTTAACTATATAATACCTAAGTGAGCCTAAACTAAGCTAAGAATCCACAATCTATACTAAAATGAACTCGCAAATCAACAAGCAATCAAGTAAAAAGAACGAATTACACAATCAATGAATTGAACTTTTCTAACCTTATGATTTCTAATGAAGTGAAACTTAAGCTAAATCTAATACTAAAACCCAACGATCTTATGAAACCTATTTTCTAACAATTTTTGAAATTTTATTTTTATAGAATTATATTTTTTATTTTATTTGGAAATAGGCCCTTGGGCCCGATCCGAATTTGGGCTATACTCGCGAGTCCAGAATTTGGACTTAGGATACCATCGGGCTTTCGTATCAAACCCATTCCAATAAGAAATTATAAATGAGCACTTTTGGGCTGACTCACCAAGCCCGTCGCCAAATTAACAAGTCTGAGTCCATTTCTTATCAAAAAGACACGCAGCCCATTTTCACATTTTTATCATTTTCTTCGCCTTCCTCCCTAATCACGGGAAAAGTACCAAAAAAGTCTTAAATTAATGTTAAACCTTTCAATTGAACCAATTTAGTCCTAAACTTTTATACATTGGTACCAATTCAGTCCATCCGGCCAATTTAGGCCGGAAATCGCTGACGTGGACATTTAAAAATATTTTTTTAATAATTTTTTGAATTCTTTTATTACTTTAATTAATTTTTTTACTTTCCATTTTCTTTATTTCTTCTCTTTTCTTTCCTCTTTTTCTTTTTTCTTTCCTTTGTTTTTCTTCCCTTCCTCTTCCCTTCGCCAGCCTCCAGCCTCCAAGATGACCGATGGAGGCCGCCGGCGGCCGGCGAGGGAGAAGGCGAGGGCCGGGACGCCTTCGCCGGCCGCAAGGGAAGCCGACCCTTAGCGAGGGCTGGACGAGGCCGCCATTGCAAGGTTCGTTGTCAGATCCAGCGAGGGAAACCTCTCCCCGACCCTGTTGGCCTCTAGCGACGCGAGGCCCCTTGCTAGATCCGGCGAGGGGACCCTCGCCCAGCCCTCGCCAGAGGCCGGCGAAGACCGGCCTCGCTGTTGCCAAATCTGGTGTACACACCTTCAGTCCATGGATTCTCTATTGAGTGATGGAAGGAGAGGGAGATCTTCAGCCATGGCTTCTCTCTTCACCAAATCCAGTCCCTCGCCACTAGACCTGGAACTGAGGCACCGGCCGGAGGAGACGGCCAAAGTGGAGAGACGCGGCACCAGCTAACTCCGGCTCCGCCGATGGCCATGGCGGAAGGAGGCATGGGGCTCGTCGTGAAGATGGAGGAGGAAGAAAAGAGAAATCTAGATGAATTCAGGGAATTTTTAATTCATTTTTTATTCCACGTGTCAATTTGTAATTGGTTAATAATAAATAAGCGCACGTCCAAATAAACATTTTTTTTCAATAGAATATTGATGATAAGAAAAGTTTCCTCCAAGACAGTTTGCATGGCAAGTTTACTTTCGAAAGGCTCAGATTACCCTCTCCTTTCGTTTGATCACGGCATTCAATCGGGAAAAATACAACAAAACAAAAATAACCAAAGCACGACACAAACGAAAGAACATAGTTATGGAGGAGAAAAAGCATATCAGAGGGAGGCTCGAACCAGATGAACTCGCAAACGGGAAGGAGGGCTCTCTGTTTTGAGAGCAGTCGTTCTGCTTTGGTGTTGGCGCAAGCCTCCGCCTCTGTCGTCTTAGCTCTTGAGGCTGGAACGAGATTCAGAGGTCAATGTTTCGTGGCATATATGATGGTGAGGTAAGAGCGATTTATGGGTTTTCTTGGATCCGATTCTAGGACTTGTTCTGATGATGGCAGTTTTGGTTTCTTGTGTGATTTTGGCTCGTTGGTGTACTAATTAATTAAGGAAAGTTTATAATTCTCAGTGTTCAGATTGAGATTGTGTAATGCAGAATCATTGCCTGAAATGAATAAATCCAGACAAAAGATGTTCAACGTATGCTTGCTGCACATGCATGTGACACGGCCCAAGGGAGCGAAAGGCTCCAAGCCCATCCATGAACGAGACGCGGCCCCTTACGTGCATGGGACGTGGCCCATGCGTGCATGGGACGTGGCCCATCCGTGACTAGGCGCGAACATCATCCACGACCCTTTAGTTGCCTTTGACACACGACCCTACAGCTTCCCTTGAGCTCCCCCACGCCCCTAGGGCCTCTGCAACTTCTTGAGTAGCTATGTAATGATTGTATCGGTTCAAACACCACCGTTGGATCATGAGGGGATCAACGGATCAGATTAGACCCGCACTTGTATATATAGGGGACTCTCTCTCTTCATTTGTACATGCTCATTTGAGCAAGAAATACAACTACGCTGCTTTCTTTCCATTCTTATTGAATCGAGTGTGTGTGTGCAAGGCTGACTTGGGAGTGATCCTAAGGTCGCACGGGTGTGGGATCGTTGTGAAATCAACCGACCCGTGACAAGTGGTATCGAAGCCTTCGTTAGCGCAATGGCTGACCCACATTCCAGTGTTGCAAATGTCCAAGGTGAGGACCACGAGGATTATGGGAGGGCGACCGAGAGAGTCGACGTCCAAACCAGGAGGAGTCGTGTTGCCTCCAGCTCGAGGGATTAAATGGGTGACCTAGAATGTCGAATGACGATTGTCGCGCTAGGTATGAGGCTTGGGAGTGCCTCGGTCTTTAGATTAATAAACCATTTGGTTTGTCTTTCAAACGAATCAATCGTTGTTCACATCCATCGACAAGTACCTCTTAGATAGGGTCGGCTAGAACGACATTAGAGGGAACCGTCATGGACGTCCAAGGGATGTTCGATGACCTACAACAGACCGACGAAGGAGTGGAAGCCGGAAGGGAGGAGCTCTTGGTCGAGATGCAAGAGCTCAAAGCCGGCATGGGAGAGCTCCGCGATGAGGTGTTGAGGCCTGTGACTCATGAGTTGCAGCAACGGGATGAGACCTGGGAGGCCGCGATGGCGGCCATGCGCGTAGAGATGGCCAAGCTCAAGGGGAAGCTCGCGAAGGTGCAAGCAGCACGCGTGAAAATATGTGGGACTCCTAAGCAATTGTGGAAAAACATGTGTAACTTAACCTTAATTTAAAATAAAAATCTGGAACACGAAACCCGACTCGGCCTGATACGACCTGACCCGACCTAATCGTGTAACTATATCCTATTCGGGTCTTGGGTATCATAAAAACCCAAATCATTGACACCCCTAGATGTCTGATGGGCAGGCTTCTATTGCACAACAACCTTTTGAATTGTCCTGCTTTGTAATAAGGTGCACCGCTGAAGACATCAGATTTTACCTTATTAGAAGACAAAATA